CCCAAACGACGAAAAATTGTAAAAAATATTTTTCTGTAAGTTATTTTACAGAAATAAACGAAGACTTAGTTTTTTAATTGTGGAACAATGTTTAATGTTTTTAATTGTTTTCAATGCAAACATTGATGTATTGCAGAGGAATTCAAAAATTCTCATAAGAAAATGCTTGAGATGATTCAATACTTTTGATTACAGATTATTATTTCAGATAACAAACTACTATTATTTTCTATCCAACTGCTTTAAAAAAGCTTGAATTATGGCAGGCAGCCCATAGAGGAAGAATAACAAGTATTATATTGTATTTAGAGGAAAAAAATTGGTGTTTTTAAACATTGGCATGAAGTGGTTCCAAATATAATAGCAGTGAAGGCTAATTTATATTATTCATTTGGCACTTTGGAGGAAACGATTTTTACTTATAATAATTTCTTTATTCGCAAAAAAAAATCCCTAGAGTTGTTTCTTCTGGAAATGGATGTTCATTTAAAGCTCATGAAAGATGTAGTTTTCCAGCCGAGACAATACCTTTAGAGAGGATGATGTCCGAGGAATTACTTTCACAAGATTATTTAAATAAATTTATATTGGAAATTCTGACAAGAATTATTAAGAATCCCATATTGATTAAATATCCAATTCACAGAGGGCATATAGGGGCGGCAAACTATATAGCTAATTGGTTAGTATTGGCCATTGGTTCATTTTGAACTGGAACCGAACCGTACTGTAGATGGATCGGAATCGGACCGAAACCGTTGGTTCAAAGCTTTGGACCAGTGATTCAAGGGCCGGTTAAGGTTCATGTAAATGTTAAAATTTAATCCTGAACCGTTGGTGAACCGGCAGTTTCGGTTCAGTTCGAACCGAAAATTTTCTATTTTCATTTTCAAAATAATAATCACTTAGCCTATTTTATACATCTCTAAAAGTCTCAATAATATTTTACTACATGATATACTTAAGTTTTTTTGTTTTTTAAATACACTTTTAAAAGCTAAAAATCCAAAAAGTAAAATGGTAAAAAAAGAGAGAAATATTTAGTTTAAACTTATATTGTTTTTAACTTTTTTTTTTTTTACCCTTTTTTTTACCCTTTTAAATTATTTACTAAGTTTAAAATCACATTCTTTTGAAGCATAATGATAAGGGCCTGTCTCGTACATTGATTAGCTCTTGGGCTAATTCAATTGCTGAAGCCAATAGTAGTCTTCATTTTCAAAATTTTCTTATAATTTATTTAATCAATAATATTTAAACAAAATAAAGTGATAATTTATTTGATTATTTTGTAAAATTAATTAATTTTATTCTTATATGAGTATGAGCATTCTAAAATTTTCTAAATTTTTTAAAATAAAATTTATCAAATATTTTTGAAACTCATGATTAATATTTTCGAAAGAAGGATGTAATGTTAGAATGATTGTAATCGATTTTTTTTTTTAAAAAAAAAAAAACATAAATCGACGGAAACCGTGATCGGAACCGTCGATTCATTGGAATCGCACCGGAACCGGAACCGAACTAGAACTGGCGGTTCAAAGGCCGATTCAGGTTCAATATTTTAAAAATTTTAAACCATTGGTTCTGTGAACAGGAACCGGTAGTTCAATGAACCGGCCATGCCTAGTACTAACCTTTTAGCAATGATTGGCCCAACCCAAGTTAGTCATATCATCCATTTTCACCTCATGGATTTTAGCCTCTTACCCAGTTTACCTCTACCCTTTCAATTTATAATATAGTATCAGAGCAGATCCAGGCCAGTTCAATTATTCTTCAGTTCACCGGTGTTACTACTGCATTTTAATTTGAACTCTCATCGGGGTGTAAAGTCCCAATGAGGCCCATTTAATTTCAAAGGCAAAAAGTCCAGTTCAATTTTAGGGAGAGGATTTCAAGTATCAAGCAGAAAGTTCAGTCCCGTTGCACTTGAGAGAGAGTCTTAAGAATCCCACGTCGATTCAATACCCAATTCACAAGGCGTATAAAGGTGGCAAGTTAGCTAGCTAATTGGTTAGTATTAACCTTTTAGTATTGGTCGGTCTAAACCCAGGAAAACCCATATCATTCATTTTCACCTCATAGATTTTAGCCTCTCTTCATGCATGTTTATGTGACTTTTGTCAATTGATGTATCTGACACGAATGATGTTTGTTTAATATTTGTGTTTGATATATTAATTCTGACAAGATTTGTCATAAACAAAATAATAATGGTTAACTAACAATATGATAAATATTATACCAGTACAACTTGCCATAACCAAAAACAAAAATCTTTCTCAAATATTAAATATAATTATAATATTAATTATAATTAGAAATATATATATATAATATTTTCTTTGAGAAAAATAATTTTTTAAAAATAATTTTAGAATGTTAATCAAACGAATAACAGTGGCGAATACCTGAGTAATTGAACCCGACTCGATACAGGTAGTAAAAGTATTTCCTAAATTCGTTTATTCATTACTCGAACCCGCCAATATCATATCGGATCTGATCGAACACCTCAGATAAAATTACCTTCCCTTATATATACAACATGATTGACATAACATAAAAATATGCATTTCATTTGATAACAACTACCTTTATATTAAACACAAATAGGGGCTTCATGGAGAGTTTCACATTCAGAACCCAAAATACAAGTAAATAGTTAACTCTTAAAAATCTGCAAGACACCCTTCCGATTAAAAACTAACTATTGTCCAACATATTTAATGGTAGAAAACCACATATAATTAACAATGCAATGCATAACCAATATCCTCTTTTGTTATAGACCTCTAGATCATCTCTGTGCTCATTAAGCTCCATCAAAGGAGACTCCACCTCCACCTCATTTTCGAGAATATTATCAATGGAATTTCTGGATTTGACTATGGCAGCCCTAGCTCATTTATAACCTGAACTATTCTTTCACTCATCTTTGCATCATGTCACTCAAAGTAAGAACATCCACAAGGCTGGACTGAAAAGAATAAATCAAAATTAATATTAATTCAGATGCCAACAAAATCATAATTTAAGCCCGAAACCAATGAAATTTCATTTCACAAACATAGTCACCTTGAAAAATTTACAGGAATAAAACCTTCTCCTTAGATTACTGTAACTCCAAGACACCCATCGCGCCTTAAGACTGCAGGCACAAAACTTAAACTGCCCCTCCTAATTGTACTGCGGTTGACCTCCATGATTTCTCCTGAGACATTAAAGAGCTTGAATCCTCTCTTCATTAATTTTGCTCTACAAGTGTTTAGGTTAACGAGGAATTATTTTGGGGAATTAGGAAAACTCTATTTCGTAAGTTAATGTTGGCAAGCTGTAAATTAAAAAATAAAGTTAATCAATTTTTTAAGTATAATTTTTTAAAATTAAGTTAATTAGCAATGCCAATGCCAATGCCAATGATATGTAATTTTAGCAATATAGTAGTAATATTTTTGAAAGGTATAAAACTAACTTCAGGAAAAAGTTCATATTTAAAAGATTTTCCAAAAAGTCAATTTTCTGTTCATAGAAGATCACATTATAAGAATTTATTATTCATTAGTCAAATGCTAATTTTCCTCAAATTTTTTATTCAAAATTTATTATTGACAATAGCAATGTCAAATCTTAGAGCAGAATATCTTTAACCCGGACGGGCCCAATTGGTTTATCGTGGGCCTGGTAATAGGAATTAAATATGGACTGGGTTAGAATAAAATTTGGGCCCAAGAACTGTCTACTGCAGTTTAGCCTAACAGAAACTGACAACAAAAATGAGAAACTCCTCCTATCCTAACATTATAATGTGCCAAACCCTCAGCCGACAGCCAATCTGCTGACCTTATATTATTACTTCAGTGATCTAAATGAATATTATATTTAATTTTCAAATAAATTTTTATATTATAAAATAATATTTGAAAACAATTTATTAAATTTGACGTCAATTAGTTATTCAATTTTTTTAAAATTTTATTTATTTGATAAAATATATAAAAAATTATTTACCTCTGTTGGCAGGAGCTATGACATCCAATATACATAAGCCAAATTGATAAATAAATTTATTTTAAAATTAGTAAATAAAGTTATTTAATATTTCTAATGATAATCAATGGATTATTTCCAATATTTTAGATACTTTAATATTCCAGCTACTCTAAATATAGTTGTATACTTTAATTTTTATACTTCCTCCATGGCATTTTGTTTGCTTATTATTATTTTTTTGGGTGCCAAAATGTTAGCAAAATTTCTAAATTTAAATATTTAAATAATTATTTTTTCTATAATAACCTTTATAATTGTTCATTAATGGAAAAACTTTTATTAATGTCTTAATGAATTAAGGACAACAAAGGGCAAAATAATTTTTATTGACTAAATTCTTAATATGCGTGTTTTATCAAACTATGCAAATAAAATAGAACGAAATGAGTACATTCCAAGCATTTATATATATCGACTGTAACCTATTAATCTAAACTCAAAATTCACAAGTCACTTGTCGTCACGCCACCTTCAATATAATTGAGTAAATAATAATAATAATAATAATATTCCTTTCAAAAAAATAGTCCCACTTCTTTTTCACACCGATTAAGAATGGGTAGTTAAATTAATTCAACCAATATATTTATCCTTCTTTTTTCATATATACCCTTATATTAACAAATTTTGACTAAATTCTCAATTTGTTTAGAGTTTTTCAATAAAAAATTAATATCTCGGCACATGTTTAAATTGCTTTATATTTATATTTGACTAAATATTTAGTAATTTTATGTATATTACAAATTATATTATAGAGAACTTAACAAAAGTACAGTTTTCAAAAATGGAAATGAGACTATTATTTTGGGACACTCATTATAAAAAGTGAGACTTTTTTTTTTGGGATGGAGAGAGTAACAATGACCAATTGTTTTGCTTAATTAATTAGCTAATGCAAGCCTAACGCAGAACTCACGAGAGCGAAAAGAAACATTAAATTAAAAAAATAATATTTGATATATATTACGCTTATTACATTTCTTAGAAAATAATTTCACAATTATATGAAAAAGAAAACAAAGAGAAAAACTCTAGAATTACACATTATAACACTTCCTTTTTTTCAAATTAACTAAATTAATTAAATAACCTATTGTGGCTTGAAGAAACTAGCTTTAATACCGGTTTTAATTACAACATAAACGCCAGCAGCAACCTGAAGTCCGCTAAGAGTCATACCAAAAATCCCTAATCCCCAGTTAAGGAACCACATTGGGCTATAAACCTTTGGTTTCTTCATCTTAAGCCACATAAAGCATGGATAAGCTAATGTCACTGGCAATGCTATTCCTCCAATTAGACCAGCCACACTTCCAAGGAATGGGATCGCCACCGCGATGAAGAAGCATAAGTATCCAAATAATGCTCGGAAAATTGCTCGGAGCCACCAAGAACACGGCTTCTTCATCCTCTTAGTGTATAATGACTCCATGTCATCAAACATTGGCATACCATAGATTTGGAATGAGCTTACGGCATTGATTATGACGAATAAACTTGTTAATCCTAAGATAAATCGTGACGTGTCTGTTCCGTGGAAAGCAAATAAGGCTGTTAACATGCCACCTTCTGGTATCTGAGAGTTAAAATGAATTAATTAAATTATATAATTTTATAATTTAATTACGTTGAATAAGTCATAATGGAATGTGATACAATAAAATCAGAAGAATTTTAATTATACATTACATTCCATTGCACTTTATTAGGGTAAAATTAAAAAAAAAAAAAAAGAAAGAAAATAGAGTTTTAGCAAGTTATAGGGATCAATAGATTAAAGATATGAAAGTGCAAGTATAGTAGTACCATTTGACCATATGCCCAATAGCCTCCAATTGCAAGGGGAAAGAGGCACATTGCAATGAGTGCGTAGGCGAACTTGACACCCTTCCACATAGGCACCCTTGATGGATGCTTCTCACTTGAAGGCATAGTAGCCTGCAACAAATTTAATCATACAAAATTACTTCTAGAACTAGAACGTGTCTAAATTTTTGAAAAATATTATTATATTTTTTTTTATTTAAAAACTAAAATTAAATTTATCCATAATATATATATACATGTCAACCTTGACTCTTTCTCATAGCTATAACTTCTCAACTTCTACTGGTAATCCAAGTAATGGCAAATTAAATGGGTTTGACATTAACGTTAGGGGTATGGCTCACTAAACATCAACATCTTCAGTTTGTTAGAATTTAATTTTGTCCATTCCTGTGCCTAACTCGTCTGAATTTTATATGTGAATATTAAACGGTCAATGAACAAAAAAAGGTAGTCAAAAGAAGAGAATTTGAAAGGAATTTATTATTGTGAAAGGATCCAAAATCAATAAACTAAAGTGATATTGGTGTTGCTGCAAAACAAATAAATAAATTAATTAATAAATTGATCTCATGGGTAACGTGTTTTCGGATACTTAATTTACTGATTTTCCAAGTCACTACCATGAGAACACTTTTGCCAGAGTGGAAACAGCAAAGAAACTTTGACAAGCCCCCCAAAAAATTCATAATTAATTTCAATTAAAAAAGATTGAAGAAAGAAATAATCAAAATAAGGTTTTAGATTAAATTAAATTTTAAGTTTTACAATCCTACAAAATTTGTAATTAGATTAAATTAATTTTTCCGAGCCAAGTTAAGTATTATTTGATTTTAACTGGATTCAAGTTTAAACTTAGTTCATTTATTAAATAAGCTCAAGATCGGACCTTTTGTTAAAGGAGCTTGATAAGCTCGCTTAACAAACTTTTTTCGAGCCTGAGTCTCAAACAGCTGATGCTTTGGTACATGTCTCGTTTCAAGATTCATTGACTATAATTTTTTCATATATTTACTAAACGGCTGAACTCTATCGTTTAAAGCTTTATATATTTAGTTATTTGACATACCTGTATCTCAAGTATGAGATTGTGACCTCTAAAGGCAAAAGCAATAATCCCAAGTGCATTTAGGATATCAAAAAGCCTTTCGATATCAGAAGGTGCACGAATAGGGTCGTAAGAGACGCCAGGCATTCTACCCTCAGCAACAGAGACAGCCCAAATAATTGTGCAGTACCCAACAGCTGTAATTGCTCCAATTAAGGACACTCCAGCAATGGAGTTCAAATTTGGCAACTGAGACAAAACAACTGCAGCACATGTGAACACCAAATACCATTCCACAGTTGTTAATGTCCTGGCATTGCATGTCTCTCCACATACTGTCTGGAAAAACAATCTTGATGTTGATCCTCCTACGATTATCAGAGCCGTACATGTTCCTGCTGATAGATACATGAGTGGAAACATGGCTAGCCACTTTGATAACTTCTCACCTGAATTATTAATCCCAATGTATATATAGATTAGTTCTTTCATTAATTTGGATTACTATACCGAACGCTTGGCAGTAGTTGAAAATGAAACACTCACCAAAAGTAGCATTCGCAAGCTGCATATATCTGCTGTATCGAATACCCTCTCCCGTAGATTCATGGAGTTGAACCAATATATAAAGGGTGTATAGTTGCCATATAAATGTTAAAGTCAGGTCTATAATTCCCCACGCCCTGTGACCAAATACCAAATGAATAACACTTAATACAGTTGAAAACAAAATAAAGAAATTAATTAAATAATTAGAGATTAAACACATATTAACTTACCAACCAAGAGTAGTGAAAGCAACAGGAAGAATGAGAGCTTGAATACCAATCCCAGAACAAAGACAATGAAACGCAGCGTAGTATGCATTTCCATTTCGAGATTCTGTAATTGGAAGCCAAGCATCTTCAGGGTCAAGCTTAGTAAGGTGAAGAACCTTTCTTAAAGGGCTACCTAAAGGGGTAATAAACCGGGGAGTTCGAATTCTTGGAGTCGAAATCTTGGGGGTTGCAGTTCCTGGCGTTCGGTTTGCACTTGCAGGCTGTATACGATCACCAGTAGATAAAAGCTCACCAGTAGATAAAAGAGGGGATCGAGTCAGGGACGGAGAGTGTAACTGCGACGGAGGAGCTGATATCGGTGGCGTTGGCGCCACCGATGCTTGTCTAGGTGTCGTAGGAAAAGAGTCAAACTCAAAAGTTTCAGCCATATCAACCTTTGATGTTTTCCCAATATGTTTTTGGTTCCCAAACCAAACTAATCAAGATTGGGGTATATATAGACGTCACGTACTATTATAATATAGCATTGGAAAATAATATTGGAAACGAGCAATACGTTGAGTTAAAAAAAATGGTGCAGAATATAATATTGTACAGAAGGACATGGAAAAGGACTGAAACAGCAGCCAACTAGATTGTCAAACTTTGGCCCCTTTCGCATTTGCAATTCTTCTATATACCGTTGCCGGTCATATTAAGCTGCCTGACAAAAATTTTGGTCAGAATTTTTACGCCCCATCGAACTAGAACAAAAAAAAAAAAAAAAAAAAAAAAACAAAAAAAAAAAAAAAAAAAATTAAAAAAAAAAAAAAAAAAAAAAAAAAAATTAAAAAGCAGCCTTTATCTTTATGTCTTTTGACTTGAGAAGTTGGAATTAGTCCTATGGCTAAGGTAAGCCACATTGAAAACATTTACTAATGATATGTTAATAGTATAGTCTGTTGGAAAATTTAATACGCCATGAGGTAATGTCTTTATACACCCAACAACTGCGAGTCACCGTTTCACCTAAGTTTAAGAAAAAAAAAAAAAAAAAAGCATGTGTAAGACAGCGCATGTAAGATAAAAAAATTCTTTCAGATGGGAATATATTGTCCTTAATAAAATTAAATACGAACTCCATAATTCTCACATGGGCACTAATCTTCAGTACAGGGCAAAGCTGTCTTATATTTTATTTAAATTTTGGCATATCATCGGTGGCTAATTTGCCGCCAGGAAACGACAAATGAGAATAATTAGTAGTTTTGAGGGCGGACATTTTATTTCATGTTTATGAGTATTCAGTAAAGAATTAATTCTTGGAAAGTGATCTAGATTTTCCTTACAATAATTATTGGGGCCCCCAAATAAATCTTGAAGAAAAATATTTATTTCATGTTTAGAGGGTTATTTGCCAAACCAAGGGATAAATTCATTAAAGAATAAATCTTAGCAAGCGATTTCAATTTTTATAAAGATAAAAATATAAAATTAATAATTTTGGAGTGTACAGAGATGACAAAAAAATATTTAAACTCTACAAATTGAAGGGATTAGTCTAAAGAAAAATAGAGAAAAACCAAATTACAATATTTCGTTCTCAAATAGTCCAATATTGACCCGATGGGATCATTACATGGCATTGTAGGTCCAGTTCATGGAAAGGATTGAACGTGAACACTTATTGCTTTGGTCATAAGTCGTAAAAAAATAGGTCAATTTACACCTTTACAAACTCCTAAAAGCTTGTCCTTATTCTGCAAGATAACAAAAGACACAGCCTTTCTTTACTCCATGGTTCGTAATAACGAGGTAAAATATGAAAGAAGATAGCAGAGGGTTGGAGTTTATGTTGGTTTTAATCAAAAACATAATAAAAGCTCAGACAGATATTAGATTATTTTATTTACATTTGCACGTAAAGAACAGAAACCAAGGGAAGAAAATAAGAGTATTGTTGAATTCAAATAAGGTCTGCTGTGGCTAATGTGAATTGAAACAACGTGGATTCTTCCTGTACTTCCTATCACACTGTAATTGTCTGCTGATTAGATATGAGCAAAAAAACAAAAATCTTCGGGGACTAAATAGTAATTCATTATTTAAAATTAACAGCTAAAATTAAAGGATAATAGTTGACAAAATGAAATATTCGTTATATGTTCATTCAAGTTTCAAAATAAGTCTTGACTTGTCAATTATGTTAAACTTTAGGAATTAAATTGATAGTATAGAGTTAACCCAACTTTCAAAGTAAAAGAGCTGAAAAATGTAAAAACAGAACATTTTAATATCCTAAAACTTTTATATTTGACTATATATTGATGAATTATTAGCCCACTGATATATAAGATCAAAGGAATTAGGTTATGATCTCATGTTGAGGTGAATAATAGGCTATATTTCTAAGATGAATAGTAATGTTTTAATTTCAAATTTTACTCCTATAAGGAATTCATCTCACATTTAAATATAGTTTATTCATGTATAAGACTTGTCTACACCTGGTCAATGAACTAGTCTCATATATTAAACTGATTTATGAAGTTTTTTAAAATAATATTGCTATTTTATCTTTTTTTTTTTCTAATTGAATGGTTAGGAATACGTTATAACTAAAAATTTATTTTTAATTGATTTCAAATATGAGTAATCCGATACATGAGAAGTAAATAAGTTACTGGGAGTAGATAACTTTATCTGCTATATATCCGACACCGGTATCTATACACCAGAAGTAGATAAATTACCTGCAGCAGATAACTTTATCTATTATATATATCCTAGGACACGCAACGTCATCAAGAATTATTTTAATATATAATTAGTTTGTTCCATAGACTTAATAAATTTTTTAAAAAATAACAAACATAAATAAATAAATAAAAAAATAAATAAATTTGAGATGCTTAATATTTTAAATTGTGAAATACATGCTTCCTAGATTAATCAAGTTTTTGTAACTTGTATTAACTAGTAGTAAAGCCGCGCTTCGCGTGCGGCTATATATATATTTTGTAAATTTAAAAAATTTAGTATTAATTGTTTTATTTTTCATTTTAATTTTAAAATAAAATTTAGATAAATTTTATTTTAAAATTAAAATGAAAAATAAAGCAATTAATACAATTTATTGACTAAAAAAATAAATACTGAGCAAACAATTTTTGTCCTACCTCAAATGTGTTTTTCTAATATATAAGTTATAAAAGCATTATGCACCCTAATTATTATTTTGAAAAAATAAGAATAAGAGATGAAAAATATAAAAATTCAAATTTAAAAGCAATATAGTAATTTTTAAAAGGAAATTATTAGATATAATGTTTAATATTTAGATAATAAAAAAAAGAGAGAAAACAATACTCAAACATGGGAATGCCATGTCAGTTTTGTAAAATTGTTTTGGTTTCAGGATCATATATACTAGGCAGTAATCGCGCTTTGCACGGTTATATAATACTCATATTTTTCATTAAAATAAAGTGGACTTGTAAATTACTTAATATGATCTAAATACTTTACTTTTTGCTTTTTTTTTTTAGATATTTAACATGATTGAGAATATGTAATTAAGAAAATATTCAAACATAATAGCTAATTCACTATTGCATAAAACATATTTTGATCATCTTGAATTGCACACCTCAATTATTGCATAAATAAATAAAACAAAACTAAAATTAGCAAAATACAAACTAGTAATGAAATTGAAAAAAATAAAACTAAACTAACAACACAAAGAAAAAGCAAAAACGATTAATTTCACATCAACCCAATTTCTTATATTGCAAATCAAAATTAGAAAAAACACACATAGGCAATAAGCTCTCTCATGATAAATTCAGTTTAATTTGAATCATGCAATTGCAGGCATATAAACCATAAAGTGAATTTGAAGATTCAAATATTATTGACATGGAAATATTCAACTTACTATGAGAAGGAAAATAAAACTTATACCCAAATAATTTACTCAAAAAAAAAAAAAAAAAAAAAAACTTATACCCAAATTAATTTACTCAAAAAAAAAAAAAAAAAAAAACCTCGATCAAACATACTAAAAAAGAGACTAAAAAAAAAAAAAAAAAAAAAACCTCGATCAAACATACTAAAAAAGGGGAGACTACTTACTATCTTATCTTCTTGAGAATTCATCCACTGAGAGATGAAAATTTTACCATTTCTTAAAAAAAATTCTCTTGTGAATTTTTATAGTGTATCCTAAAGTGACGATGTATTTCCTTTTAAAAAAAAAAAAGTGATGAAGTAAAAGAGGAATCAATTAACTCATCCCTAATGAGAGAGAATTTTTAATTTCAATTTATTCAAATGTAAAGGAAGAGAAATCTGGAGATTAAAATAAGAAGATGAAGGATTTGGCAACAATAGAAATGTAGATTTATTTTACTATTTTAATAGCAACTTTAAATTATAATTATGATCATTAAATTTTAAACATTTAAAAAAAGAAGGTAGGAAGATTAAGAACTTCAAAGACTTAAAAAGTACAATTTTTTAAAGCAAGTAAAAACGAAATGCCGAAACTTTAAATAGATTAATTAGCAATGGGAATACAGGGAAGTCGTTAAAAAATTATATTAAAAAAATTATAACTTTTGGGGACAATAAGGCCATTCCCCTTTTCTCCCTCATCATTATTTCAACTTCCATTTTCTAAATAAAAATAGTAACTGATAGATATTGTTAAATAAGCAAACCTATAAAATCAATTTGATCATTCAATCTAATAAATTGACTTATAGCAATTCAGGTTACAATTGTATTCCACCAAATTTTGACTTTTTATATTCATCTCATGTCATCTTGAATTCAAGCTGCCATAATAAAACTATAAAAATATTTATTATTTATTTGATATATTTTAGAAACTTAAAAACATAAATTAATCATTTCAATTTATTAGAGATTTAAATGAGCCGAACAGGTGGTTGATGAATTTATTAAATGAATTTGATAAATAAATTCAAGTTTAATTCATTAATTTTATCTTTTTGAGCCGAATTTTAAAAACTTAATTCATTTACATCCTTGCCAATTTGTGGAACAGCCGAATGTTAAAATTTCTATGTTTTTGCCAGATCAGCTTCAGTGCATATCAGATAGTTAAGAGGTCAATTTCAGCGTGCTAAGCGAGTATTAGACTTCAATTAAATTAGTTAATTAAATTATATAATACTTATTCGTTTTCCTTTTGCCTTTGTATGTAATGGAATCATAGAGAATTTAATATTTAAAAAAAAAAAAGATAAGAGACTTTTAACATTCCAAAATAATAAAAATAAGAATTAAGAACACGTTTTGATTGCTAGATACTATTTTTAATTAATGGATACAAACAAATTTCTTTATCTTGCTAGTGCAAGGAAACAACTATATATAGTATTATTGGAAAAAAATTATTTATATTTAGTATATTCATCCATTTATATATTTATCTATTTTATTTTTTAGTAAATAGTTAAAAATAATCATCATTCAAAATATATA